ACAAATGTTCGAAGCTAGCCAACTCGCCGCATCATTGAGCACAGATTGTGGGGTCGCGTCGCATGAAGAAGTGCTGGGCTGCGGCCGAAGCAGACGAGTTCGCCGCTCTTCAAGCAGCTGTGGAATCAATAGATTCCACCCACACATTCATGCAAGGACACCATCGCCAATGATATTCAGGGGGGCTTTGGTATAACGAAAGACTGGGACTTTCTTCTGGCTGGGATGATAGCTGATGTTATGGCCTCATGCAAGACTAATCCACTGAAGCCTCCAATTGTCAAGCTGAAACTGCTATGCTACTGGTACATCCTATCTTCGTGACTGTAGAGAGCTTCTAAGCTGTATGAGTATCACCAGCATGCAAAGGTATATGACGATGCCTGGGCGCACTGATTTCCTGGCCTGACTTGGACGTGAAGACTGCAGTGCCACAGAAGCCTTTATTCGCCGCCAAATCCCAAAGCCCCTTATAAACCTTTGAAGCCCTATCCCAACACCTACAGCCCTTCTATAGGCCCTATAGAAAAGCCTAACACAGAGCATCCCGGTTCAGGGAGTAGAGCTTTGGAATCTGTTGAAGATCTCAGATGATTTGGTGGATTTAGGGCTTTAGAGGATTTGGAGTTATAGGGATAGGATGTATGTACATGAAAAAGAGCTGACCCAAGTATCTCAATTGTGGCAAGAGCCTTTGTGAACAAGACCATAAAACCCCTGATTCCCGAAATCTTAGCAGTCTGATACCTGCAGTATAGTAAAGCTGCATGGTGCATATCAGAAGTAGACAATGTGCCTGCGGCAATTGTGTTGGCAACCCTCGTACAAGCAACTGTAGTTATCCCCTGCATGCATGAGGAAAACAGCACATCACCCATCCTGGCGGCCGGCATCGCAAGCCCTCTTGGTCTTGCTGGTTTCCAGCATCTGGGCAGGGAATAAGAGGGCACTCTTATACTACAAGTTCCACAATCCCATACTTCGCTTATAAACACAATGACATCCCCAAGCAGGCCTTCACAGCAATAGCTTCAGCATCTGCGCTGTGGGTCTGCTCTGTCTTCATGACCCCAAAAGCAAGATCAAAACCCACAGCTAAGCCAGCAATCCACAAGAAGGCTGCAGCCGGCAAACACATAGGCAGATCACGCTCAATCAAACACACAGTCCAGCACAGATGCAGATGCGAA